GTAAAATGTTAATATTTATTTTGTTAGTTAAATTATATATGGAATATTAATTTCGTTTTTAATATAATTTGGAAACAATGACATTTTCTAAAAATAATAAACTAAAATAATGATGTGTCATTTTACGATTGGAGGACTTAAATCCTACGTGGACGCTCTCAATGGCTTATAGCCTCAACTTTTATATAGTATAGATTTCAGCTCCGTCTGCACCATATATCTTCATTTACCTTAGCTGTCATTGTTCTGTTCCTTCTGGTCATTATTATTATTATTATTGTAATTGAGTATTGTAAAGAAAGAGATTTTGTTCCCATTTTGTGCTTTCTTAACCTAAATTCAACCATGATTCTGTTTCGGCGTGCGTTGTTTATGTTATGTGTATCTCTTTATTAGTAGTGACTACATAGTCTACATTTGATACTTTCACCTACTCTTCTCTCTGACCCCAGAAGTTAACTCGTTGAAGAGAAAATTGTATGGCTTTCAAAGTAAGAGAGTAGCTTAGAGAAGTAACTAGGTTGAGACCTGCGAAGGGTAAGACTGATGTAAAATAATATAATGAAAAAACTGAATTCTTAAGAGGAGTATACTGTGATGTGAATATATAATGTGAAGTAAAAAAAAAAAGAAAAAGGGTTTGAATTATTATACCACACTATACAATTACGTTTCTCAATCAAAGTTGACGGGTTGGCACTTTTGCCACTATAATTTAGTAAGCTGAGAATATATCATGGACTAAACTTTATTCGGTGCAATTTATCACGTTTTTCTGTTGAGATGGTCCAGTTCAATTGGCATTAAAATCTTCGAATCCCCTATATATTAATTGAGAAACATTTGAAAAGATATAACCTCAAGTTTGTATTAATTAAAAAGTAACATTGCTTAGTTGTCAATCAATTAGCATACCAATTAAACTGACGTGGCAGCTTTAGGTTCAATTGAAATTTGCTAGGGAAAAATAATTAGAGACGCATATAACGCATGTAACATAGTTTATATATTTATATATATCGCACGCATGTAATGGAAGAAAAGGAAAATATA